GGTTGTTTTCCTCGGAGGTTTTTCTCCTTGGTTTGGAATGGCCATCCTCCCCCTGTGTCTTCACATGGTCTTCCCTCTGTACATATCTGTGTCTAAATTTCCTCTTTTTATAAGGACACCAGTCATATTGGGTTAGGGCATATCCTAATGATCTCATTTTAATTTAATCACCTCTTTAAAGACCTTATCTCCAAATACAGTCATATTTTAAGGTACTAGGGGTGAAGACTTCAGTGTACGGATTTTAGGGGGAAACACTTCAGCCCAGAGCTTTGCGAAAGGGGTCCATGATACAGAAAAGGTTAAGAGCCTTGATCCTTGAGAATGAGAGTTGAATATTTTGGTTAACCTGGCAATTCATTTAGTTAAGGTATTTTTTTACCCAACATTGTAATTAGTCAGTGTTAAAGTTTATTAATTTATAGTCATTTGTTAACTTTACTGTTTGTATTTGAGTATACGTGCTATGGTGAAAACAAATGCAGTGTTCTGCTTTTAACGACCCCTATTTTCAGACAAAATAATTTGGATCAGAGAATTGTATCGAGAATGGGAAGTATAATAAATGAAGAAACTTCTTTTCAAATTAGGAATAAAAATAGGTGGCTCTTTATTTAAATAAAAATGAGATTATTATTCTGTAAAGATACCATCTCTTCACTATGAATATCTGTGTAATCATTGGTTTTTCTTTATTTTAAAACTCAATTTTTAGTACTTCAAATATACTAATAATGAAACATATATGTAAGTTTGTATGTGATAGATGTAATATTTCACCATATTTGCCTGAGATATTTTAAGAAATAGAATGTTATTCATATAGAGTTCCCTTTTCTCCCTCCTTATAGGTAACCACAGAACCGAAGTTGGGTATGCAGCATTACCAGGCCCCATGCATATTTTTAATACTAAGTGTGTGTGTATCCATAATGAATTAAATAGTATCGCAATGTGTATGTATGTATAGTAACTAGCCTTTTATCTTTCTTTCTTTCTCTTTCCTTCCTTCCTTCCTTCCTTCCTTCCTTCCTTCCTTCCTTCCTTCCTTCCTTCCTTCCTTCCTTTCTTTCTTTCTTTCTTTCTTTCTTTCTTTCTTTCTTTCTTTCTTTTTATTTTGAGAAAGAGAGAGAGAAAAACCCAAGCAGCCTCCGCACGGTCATCACACGGCCCACCATGGGCCTCGAACTCACAAACTGTGAGATCATGACCAGAGCCAAACATTTAACCTTCTGAGCTACCCAGGCGCCCATAGTAGCTAGCTTTTCAAACTAGTCATTTTTTTTTTTTTTTTAGATTTATCCATATTGATATGTAAATCTAGATCATTCATTTTAACTGCTGTACAGTATTTCATGGTATGAATAATTTATAGTTTATCTATTTCCCTACTGAGAGGCCATTAGATTATTTTTATCTTTTCCTGTGACAAGTAGTGTGGTGATAATAATGATAATGGCAACTCCCACTTATTGTGATTATTATGTGCTGTTCCTGTTGTAAGTGCTTATGTGCATTAAAGCATTTAACACATTTATTTATTATAACATCCTATGTGTTAGAAACTATTATGCACGTTTACATACGAGAAAACTGAGGCAGAGAGGTTAGAAATCACCGAAGGTCACATAGCTAATGAACATTCTTAAACGTGTTTCCTTGTGATGTGTGTGAGAGAGTTTCTGTAGAGAAAATAAAAAGTGTAATTTCTGTGTGTGTACATTTTCTTTGTGTGTGTGTGTGTATGTCTGAATTCTCTATTTTTTTGGCTTATATGTCCGCTGATCTACATCATAGTATGTCAGTAACATAGTGTTTTGATTACTATAACTTTAAGTCTATAAATAAGGTACTGTGAGTTTCCCACTTTTGTTCTTCCTTTTTAAAATAATTTATTTTTTATTTTTTAATTTTTTAAAAATATATTTTTTTATATTTGAGAGAGAGACAGAGACAGAGAGAAAGAGCAAGCAGGGGAGGTGCAGAGAGATAAAGACAGAATCCGAAGCAGGCTCGAGGCTCTGAGCTGTCAGCACAGAGCCCAATGCGGGGCTCAAACTCATAAACCACAAGGTCATGACCTGAGCCAAAGTCAAATGCCCAACGAACTGAGCCACCCAGGCGCCCGTATTTATTTTTAAATTTATATCCAAGTTTGTTAGCATATGGTACAACAGTGATTTCAGGAATAGATTCCTTAATGCCTCTTAGCCCTTCCTGCCTCCCACAACCCCTCCAGCAACCCTCTGTTCTCTATATTTAAGAGTCTCATGTTTTGTCCCGCTCCCTGTTTTTATATTATTTTTGTTTTCCTTCCCTTATGTTCATTTGTTTCGTATCTTAAAATCCTCATATGAGTAAAGTTATATGATATTTGTCTTTCTCCAGCTGATTAATTTCACTTAGCATAATACCCTCTAGTTCCATCCACGTAGTTGCAAATAGCAAGATTTCATTCTTTTTGATTGCCAAGTAATACTCCAGTGTGTGTGTGTGTGTGTGTGTGTGTGTGTGTGTGTGTGTACATACATATATATACCATATACCACATTTTCTTTATTCATTCATCTGTTGATGGACATTTGGGCTCTTTCCATACTTTGGCTATTGTCAATAGTGCTGCCATAAACGTTGGGGTGCATGTGGCCCTTCAAAACAGCATACCTGTATCCTTTGGATAAATACCGTATCCTTTGGATAAATTGCTGGGTCGTAGGATAGTTCTATTTTTAATTTTTTGAGTAACTTCCATACTGTTTTCCAGAGTGGCTACACTAGTTTGCATTACCATGTTTATGAACATTTTCAACTTTAGTGTGTATGACTAAATTGAGCGTTAGGGTTGTATCAATTTATAGCTTTTATTAGTAAATGTGTAGGAGCTCCTCTTTCCCTATGTCTTTGACAGTACTTTGTCTTATCAGATGGATTTTGCCAATTTAATGGAGATAAATAATAGCTCTTTATTATTTTTAATGATTGAAAAAAATGAAAAATTAGTGCCTGGAAAACCCAAGTGTTTTGTTTTTGGACGATTGCTGTTTTGGGGGAAATATTTTCAAAGTATAATTAGAGGCTTTTCTCTGAATTTGAATGTGAAAAAAAATCAGCTTTCTTTGCAGCATTAAACTTTACTACAAATCTTTGAAACGTGCAAACTTTGATAACTTTTTACTTGGCCTATGTAATTATGTTTTAAACTCTTACTCTTCAGGGTTCCTCTTTTTTTGGGGGTTTTGCTAAGTTTCTATCCTAATTGCATGGAATATAATTTCTATTAACATGAAAAAATGGCAACTAAGTGTACTGGATATCTTCCATTTGCCTCTCCACTTTCCACCATTTCCACCCTCTTTGTGCCCTTGAAGAGTGACCCTTACTGACTGTCTCAGTGGGTCTGTTAACCTGTGGTTTGGCCAGTGGTAGGGCAACCATGTTTCCTGCCTTATGCCTCTTGTTCTTGTATAACTATGAATAGGGAACCCTTTTTGCATTCAGAAGTGGCCCAGTTTGGGTGAGAAATTGTAAGATTACCCTAGCCAGTAGAGAGGAGGAAGAGAGAGGTTGACATATTTATTAGTCTGATTCCTTCCCCTCAGGGTTAGCCATGGCTTACTGCATCCCTCGACTGAAGGTCACGGCTCCTATCAGGTAGCCCTCCCAACACAACTCTCTCCAGGTTCTGCTAACCATTCTTTTTCCGTGTTTCTTCAGTTCTAAGGGTGGCAACAGATCTGTTATTAGTGCTAGGGTAGCATACTATCCCTTTTGGTTTTCCTGTGTTGTGCCTATATCTTTATAAATAGTCCCTTTAAATTTTTTTTTTTTTTTTCAACATTTATTTATTTTTTTGGGACAGAGAGAGAGCATGAACGGGGGAGGGGCAGAGAGAGAGGGAGACACAG